TGTGTCTCTGTCTGTCTGTGTCTCTGTCTGTCTGTGTGTCTGTCTGTCTGTGTGCGTGTGTGTGTCTGTCTGTCTGTGTCTCTGTCTGTCTTTGTCTGTCTGTGTCTCTGTCTGTCTGTGTGTGTGTGTGTGTCTGTCTCTCTGTGTGTCTGTCTGTCTGTGTCTCTGTCTGTCTTTGTCTGTCTGTGTCTCTGTCTGTCTGTGTGTGTGTGTGTGTGTGTCTGTCTGTCTGTCTGTGGGTCTGTCTGTGTCTCTGTCTGTCTGTGTCTCTGTCTGTCTTTGTCTGTGTGTGTGTGTGTGCGTGTGCGTGTGTGTGTCTGTCTCTGTCTGTCTGTCTGTCTGTCTGTGTGTGTATGCAGCGCACTCCCTGCGTCTGAGTAACAAAAAAAATAATATTTGCATTATATTAATAGACGAACTATGCTCATATTTATAATTCCAAACAATCAGTAAGCGACAGGTGTTTGGAAACGCTGTTTTGTACTCATTTAATGACGAGTCGGCTGCGGAAGATCTTGAGTGAGTAAATTATCAGGAGATTTATTCTGGAAGTGAACTAATCCTTTAAATGATGCTGCAAGCGATTGACTCCGTCTCTGGTGGTCTTCTTTCAGGTCCTGGGAGAGTTCCCGTGAAGTCAAACACAAAGTGAGTTCACTTTACACCTGCTGCTGTATCTGCTTTGGTTCAGTCGCTTATGCATTATGCAGTCGCTGAAGATCAGGTGATTCTGTAGATGCAAAACTGCACAAAGTGATGCTCATCCTCAGGATTTCGGTCTTGTTTTCCAGTACAATGTATATCTGCCAGTGTGCTCGGAACGAAAGTGATTTGATTTGATGACCCCGTTGGCAGATTTTCTTATTTTAATCATGAACTCTCTTAACTTTTTAGATCATGTCCTATGACATTTTGTCAGTAAATGTGTCTCTTGATTTAAGAATGAACAGAAACTTGTACTGAATGACAAGACACAGATACAGCGGAAGCATTTTTGCAGTGTGTTTGATTAAAATGAGTCTCAAACTTAAGATCTATGTCTAGTTTAAATCGTTTTGAAAATGCTTTAGGGGTTTTAGCAACTTCTGCATGGCAATGAATATCTAAACGATCTTAAATCAAGACACATTTACTAGAGAAGCAAACTTACATCAGATAAGAAGAGAATAGATTTATTTTTCTGACCATGTTGGCAGAAAACAAGAGTTCGTGTTTCACCGTGCTTCTCCAATAAATGTCTTGATTTCAGGATGTTTAGATATTTGTACTGAGATACAGACTATGAGCATCACCGTGTTTATTCCCGTCGTTCTCTTTCATCAGGAAGTTCACCATCAAAGACTTCGACATCGGCCGTCCGCTCGGGAAGGGGAAGTTTGGTAACGTGTATCTGGCGCGTGAGCGGAAGCTGAAGGTGATTGTGGCTCTGAAGGTGCTCTTTAAGTCTCAGATGGAGAAGGAAGGCGTGGAGCATCAGCTGCGGAGAGAGATCGAGATCCAGTCTCACCTCAGGTGTGTTTCGGCTGCTTCTGCCTCCTTCAGACGCTCTTCATGACCCTGCAGGAGCTAAAACAGTCTTCTTTCCAGGCATCCGAACATCCTGCGCTTCTACAACTACTTCCAGGACGACACGCGTGTGTTTCTGGTTCTGGAGTTCGCTCCGCGGGGAGAGATGTACAAAGAGCTGCAGCGCTGCGGACGCTTCGACGATCAGCGCACCGCCACCGTGAGTGACACTCACTCACTCACTCACACGGTCACACTCTCTCGCTCTCTCTCACTCACACGGTCTCACTCACACGGTCACACTCTCACGCTCACTCACTCTCTCTCTCTCACACGGTCACACTCTCTCTCTCACACGGTCACACTCTCACGCTCACTCTCTCACACGGTCACACTCACTCACTCTCACGGTCACTCACATGGTCTCACTCTCACGCTCACTCACTCACTCACTCTCACGGTCACACTCTCACGCTCACTCACTCTCTCACTCACTCACACGGTCACACTCTCTCGCTCACTCACACGGTCACACTCTCTCGCTCACTCACACGGTCACACTCTCTCGCTCACTCACACGGTCACACTCTCTCGCTCACTCACACGGTCACACTCTCTCGCTCACTCACACGGTCACACTCTCTCGCTCACTCACACGGTCACACTCTCTCGCTCACTCACACGGTCACACTCTCTCGCTCACTCACACGGTCACACTCTCTCGCTCACTCACACGGTCACACTCTCTCGCTCACTCACACGGTCACACTCTCTCGCTCACTCACACGGTCACACTCTCTCGCTCACTCACACGGTCACACTCTCTCGCTCACTCACACGGTCACACTCTCTCGCTCACTCACACGGTCACACTCTCTCGCTCACTCACACGGTCACACTCTCTCGCTCACTCACACGGTCACACTCTCTCGCTCACTCACACGGTCACACTCTCTCGCTCACTCACACGGTCACACTCTCTCGCTCACTCACACGGTCACACTCTCTCGCTCACTCACACGGTCACACTCTCTCGCTCACTCACACGGTCACACTCTCTCGCTCACTCACACGGTCACACTCTCTCGCTCACTCACACGGTCACACTCTCTCGCTCACTCACACGGTCACACTCTCTCGCTCACTCACACGGTCACACTCTCTCGCTCACTCACACGGTCACACTCTCTCGCTCACTCACACGGTCACACTCTCTCGCTCACTCACACGGTCACACTCTCTCGCTCACTCACACGGTCACACTCTCTCGCTCACTCACACGGTCACACTCTCTCGCTCACTCACACGGTCACACTCTCTCGCTCACTCACACGGTCACACTCTCTCGCTCACTCACACGGTCACACTCTCTCGCTCACTCACACGGTCACACTCTCTCGCTCACTCACACGGTCACACTCTCTCGCTCACTCACACGGTCACACTCTCTCGCTCACTCACACGGTCACACTCTCTCGCTCACTCACACGGTCACACTCTCTCGCTCACTCACACGGTCACACTCTCTCGCTCACTCACACGGTCACACTCTCTCGCTCACTCACACGGTCACACTCTCTCGCTCACTCACACGGTCACACTCTCTCGCTCACTCACACGGTCACACTCTCTCGCTCACTCACACGGTCACACTCTCTCGCTCACTCACACGGTCACACTCTCTCGCTCACTCACACGGTCACACTCTCTCGCTCACTCACACGGTCACACTCTCTCGCTCACTCACACGGTCACACTCTCTCGCTCACTCACACGGTCACACTCTCACGCTCACTCTCTCACTCACACGGTCACACTCTCACTCACACGGTCTCACGCTCACTCACTTTCTCACTCACACGGTCACACTCTCACGCTCACTCACTCTCTCACTCACACGGTCACACTCTCACGCTCACTCACACTCTCACTCACACGGT